GTTTTGCTGTGGGAGGAGTGGTTGGAGCAGAGGATTCTGGCTCCTGGCTCTGCCACTGTAGCGGGTGACTTCCTCTCTGCCACGACAGGGAGAATCCCCAGAGCCTGCCTCTGTCAAAGCAGTTTGAGACCAGAGGAGGGGGCTGCTCCCATGGCTGGGGTGCTAGCTTGGGACTGGGAGACCCGGGCTCAGCTCCCTGCTCTGACAGACTGGGTGTGTGACCACGGGCCAGTACAGCGGAGATAATGCTTCCCTAGCTCCCAGCAGAGATTGTGAGGTGCCCAGATGCTGCAGAGCAAGGGGCTGGGTCAGTGCTAAGAGATCTCGGCTGAGCGGCACCAGGAAAGTGTCCGTGTGCTTGGGCTGTGGAAGTTACTTCTTATGTGTGGGCTTGTGTCCGTCGGGGTCTCCCTCGGAGCGCTCTGCCTGCCGTTGGATCCACAGCTCAGTACCTGGGGGATTTCAAGTGGTGCTGAAAGAGAAACAGCAGCAGGGGAAAGCTGCTTCTTACAGGGCACATGAGGTGTGGTGCCATGCTCCCTCAGAGATCAGTGCCTTGGAGAGCTGTCCCCTGTGACAGGAGCTGAAGGCTGGATTTCAATCTGTCTTTGCCGCCAAGGTCTCTTCGCAGCTGTGTCCAAGGAGCAGCATGAGTAGGAGGAGGCTGTGATACTTTTGCTCCCTTTAGCTGGGCCCTCCAGGGCGGAGTTGGTGCAGGATGATGGGGGCAGGGCGTGCTGGGCAAGGTTGCCCTGCTGGTGCTGCTTTGGGTGCTGCCTTCCACCTACCCTGATCCTGAACGTGGATACACATGTAACACTGTCTGCTCTGATTACAGGGCTCAAAGAGGATCCTGAGATCCAATGAGATTGTCCTGCCGGTCAGCGGGCCTGCTGAAACGGAGCTTCAGCTGACCTTCTCACTCCAGGTGAGTGCGCTGTACTGGAGCAGCCTTTTCCTTGACAGGTGAGAGCACCTGCCTGGCACCTGCCCATGGGTATGTGTCTTTTCACACACCTGAGCTGACTTTTAGAGAGAAACTTCCAATTCCAATTGGAATCCCTCAGCAGCTCAAATAGCCTCTGCACGCTTTCAGGGCCCTCTCTGCCCACAGGCTCTTAGAAGCAGCAAACTGAACACTTAACACCGGTTTCCTTGAAACTCCCAGCAATGACAATTCCATCACCTCCTGTTTGACATTCCCCTGCCTAACCTCTGCTTACCAGGCTAACAGTTGGAAAACTAAAATTATTTTCCTGCTGTGACGCTGGGCAGCTCTGTACATCAGTCCTCATCTGTAAAATGGGAACATGCTTAGGAACGCTGGATTGGACTGAATTGCCTGGGTCAGTGAGTCCATTCCCGTGATGTTGCAGCTGTCCCTGCCATTATTGAGGGAGGGTTCAGATACTCCAGTGCTGAGACCATACAAGTACCTAGATCAGTGATGGGCAGCCTGTGGCCAAATTGGGGTTCTGTGTGTGCCCCACAAGACCTTTTACTTACCATTTCCCATGCCCAGGGTTGCCAGATTCTGCTGGTTTCTCTCTGTGTAGTTTTTTCCTTCCGGTGTTACTAAAGTGACACGCACGTAAAACAAGGGTGCATGTGAAGTGAGATGTGTGCTGGTTGCACACAACATTGACTGTGAGCACTGTGTGCTCCCTCTGCATCCAATCAGAGTGCTGCTACAGTTCAGTCAGCACAGCCTGAAAATTCGAGGCAAATCACAAATGCCGTTAGCAAAACAACCCTCTTGTGGGAGACCATCTTCGTTACGGCAGTCTTGCAGCCATCTGAGATAGAGGGCCACTTGTGCGGCCCGCTCGTTAGCCTAGGTTGCCCGTCACTGACCTAGATTGAGTAAGGCAGCAGTGCCAAAATCAGTGGCTTATGCTACGCTCTCCACACGTTTCTTCCCTGCTGCTTGACCCCTTTGACAACTCTCTCCGCCTTTGTTAGATCTTGGCATCAGAGAAGCAACCATGTGATAGTTTGAGCCCCAAATATCAGCCTTGTACAATAGGACTTGTGTTTTTCCTG